CACGAGCCCTCATCGATCAAATTGGTAACTCTACTGGGATTTGTCATACTAAGGTCAAGCTTTGAATGTTCATATTCATGAATCTCAATTTATTTGTTATGTTTTATACCTATATATTTTGAGTGAATAATTGACCTTCATTTGTTTTGCTTGTTTATGTTTAGTTGTGGATATATATGGTGTTTTGCTTTATAGACTTTATTTGTTTAATTCTTAATCTTTCATTTTTGAGACTAGATATGAGGTTGTGCCTTAACAAACAACATTACACATATTATCCATTGCACATCCTTTCTTTAGATTTGGGTTTAAATGCATAAATCCAATCTATTTTGGACTCGTCAAAGTCGATTGTAAAGTCAAATCATAAATTTGAATCCTATTATAGTTTGGAATACTTATTAGTGTTTGGATTATATCGGGAGATTTAGATATTGGGTTAAGATGGTTCAAAATCCTCAACAAAATAAAATATTTAGACTTACAAGTTTTATGAAGAGTCAAATTTCAAAATTCGCTATCAACTAATCTAAAATCGGTTCGGAAGTTCTAACACATAATTTAAAATATCATCCAACGAGTTCTACTCGAGAGTAAATTCTATAAGACAAGGTTATTAGTTATAACACACACACACACACACACACACAAATATATATATATATATATATACATAATTTAGGGTTTACGTATTCACTATGTTTGGCTTTTTTTTTTTTTTAATTTCAATTCAATGGATTTTAGCTTTAATTTGAAATAAATTCCGAGGCATAGGTTTGATCTTTAAACCATTTTTGATGATTTGAGTATTTGTTTTTTCTCTAAATGAAATTATTTGATCATTTAATTTAATTAAATATGATTGCATAGATGATTGTCTAAAGAGTCCATTAGTTGATTGTCTATTGTAATTGATAGGTAGCCAACTTTCTTAATTCGTAATTGTTATGAAAAATTAATACAAGTAGCAAATTAGGTTTTTACGATTATGATTCCATTTTTCATGACTACCGAAGGGAAACAAAAGAATGAATTAAATGATTTAGGCCTTCTAGAATTATTATTCAATCTTAGCTTCTTTCTAATTCGTAATGTTATTATTGATTTGATTAGGATTATTTAATATTGAAATTAATTGATAATAAAAATTTAATTCGGTGTTGGGCTTTAGATTAATGAATAAAGAAAAAATTCAGATTTATTTTAGGTTCAAGGTAAGTCTAGGCTAAATATTCAATGAAAAGATAGTAATTTAGGTGTCTATGATCAATCCGAAAATTAAATGTGTGATTTTTCCATGAATTGAAGTTTTTCTAATTTGAAACTATTTTATTTACAATTTCAGCTTGGAAACAAACAAATCCCCCTTTTTCAATCTAAGTAAATTGAGTTTGTCATCTAATATCTAGGATTCAACCTAGACTTGTCTCTACTATAAATTTTAGTGAGATTAGTAAGTAATTTAAATTTGATGAGTTTAACAACCATTAATCACATTATATGTTCTTTTCTTAATCCTAGACTCTAAGTGGGTACCCATCCATTAATGTTTGGTTTAAATTCATATGAGCCTATCTTTTTAGTGCTTGTAATGTATTTAGTTTATGTTTGATTCCTATGATTATGTTTTCTCTTTCCTTGATGTTAAATTCTACCATAGTGTGAATAATCTTACTATTAGAAATCATTAGCTCTTTATACTTGTCAAATGACCATCTCAATCTAAAAGTTTAAACTGTTAGGTAGATCTTAGAAATGACTTTGTATTACTCTTTAACACTCCCCTTCAAGTAAAAGCTATTTAGGCTCAAAATTTTCACAAGCTTAAACAACTTTGTGCTTAATTCATTTTTAATTAAAAGAAATAGTGGAGGTGGTAGGACTCGAACTATTGATCTGTTTGGTTAGCAAGGCTCGATACCATGTTAGATGACCATTTCAACCTAAAAGCTTAAGTCTGTTAAGTGGGATCCTAGAAATAATTTTATGTTACTCTCTAATAATAATGATTTTCTATCATTTTTATTTTCAATTTATGTCTATCCTCAATTTATTGAGTTATTGCCTAGTAATTGATTTCTATTAGTTTGCAAGCTTCTCTAAACCTAACCTTAAATTACACTTGTCTTTCTTCCACAAACAAAAGAATAAGGACATTAACCATTTCTTCTCCTCTTGTGATTCAAGCTCCTCTTTCGTGTAACTTTTGTTATGACTATGGGACTACTTGTGTCATTATCGTCCCATGTTGATGGAACTCTAGTTAACTTTTTGGGTATCATTCGAGGTTAGCAATCTTATTGTTGTTGCTAATTTGTTTTATAGGTTATTTTGTGCCTGTCTTGATTGTCAAAGACTTTGTAGCAAAAGAAAATTGATTGGTTGGATAATGATTTGCAAGGCAATCTAACTCTCATAATCAAGTTTTTATGAACTAAATTTACTACTTTATGTATTCTAATGCTTATGTTGAAGATGTTTTTGGTGTTGTTTAATATGAAACTAAGTTAAATAAATTGAAATTAGTTTGCAAACTTTAAGTGACAATCTATCTAAATGATGCAATTTTCAAGGGTTATTATTCACATTAATGATTATTTTAAGCTAATAATCTAATTTTCTTAGTTGTTATGCAATGTAAAATATATATTTCCTCTATAAAATCTAAAATTAAAGAACATGTAAACTAGGAAAATAAAATTATGACTCTACTAGCTATTGAAGATTATAGACATGAGTTGTGGTTACAAAGTGGAATCATTGATGAAAGATGGTGCTTGCGAATTGAGACTCTTCCTTCATATATGATGTTCAAACAATATTCAGCTATTGAAGATTATAGACATGAGTTGTGGTTACAAAGTGGAATCAACTGAGCCATGATATCAAACCTACTTTTTTTACTACCTACTTTTATTATAGCGTACGATCTACTAGCTACAAGCTACTTGCCTAATAAGTTTGAAGTGTTTTCCAAAAGCATTTTGATGTTATAAGTGTTGTTAGTTAATTATTGTGTTTTTTTTTTTTTTAACTATTCTCTTGTTCCAGCTTATATTTATAGATTTCTTATTTCTTTATGATCTTTGCAATGTTTTATGCTTTTCTACACTTTCCCATCTTGCCTTGCAATGCTCAATGTTTCTTTGCAACTGCTGTGATAGTGTCCCATTAATGCTAACCCTTTGTTGTTTTTATATCACTAGTCATCAACTTTTTTCAATTAGGGAGGTTATCTTTCTTGCTTATCTATCTGTCCATATGTTTTTATCACTCTAAGAGTCCATGATCTATAAATCTATCATCAAATGAAGTTAATCATTCAATTAGCTCATAGGTTTCTTTAATTTCTTGGACTTGCAAATCCGAACCAAATGTTTGGTTCTAACTTCTGACAACAACTTAATTACTCCACAAGTTTCTTTGATTTGCTAGGCTTGCAAGCCCAAACCAAATTATACTATATACTAAAAGACCCAAAAACGATGCCATTTTTCCAAAAAAAAAAAAAAAAGTGATTTTTTTTTTATCATTTTTCCATTTTTTACACTTTGATCCTTTAAATTATTAATTTATATAAAACAATCCTTAATATTAATTAATATTATAAAAAGGTCCATATATATATATATATATATATATATATATATATATATATATATATATATATATTGCTGGGCTTGGTTTTTTCTTCAGATTTATTATTTAATAAAAATATTTTTTCCCATAATTAATGGTTACTTTTTTCTATTTTTTATAAATATTTATTAATTAAAATTAAATATTCTTCTAATATAAATTGGTTAAGCACCTTCTTCTAATTTGATTTTTTAAAAAATAAGTAATTAATTGCATGTATTTTTTATGTATCAAAATAAAAAATATTCCTAAGATATATTTAAATTCAATTATATATATAATTAAATAATTTTTTTTACAAAGAGTGTTAATTAATTTTAATTTTGTGTTCATAATTTTAAATTATTTAAAATGTTAAAACATAAATATAATAAACTTATCTGTAACAACATGTAGGCATTAGGCTAGTTTTAACTATAAGAAATTGAACTGTGAGGTTGAAATTGTAGCAAGGACTCCAGAAAAAGGAACTTTTCTTATATTGTATTCCAATTTCCAAGTTCCAACCGCTAGGCAAGAAGAGATATGTACTCTTTTGAACCAATTTTTATCAATATATTTTTTAAATAATATCTTCAAACTTATATTTCCACATCCCTTTCGGAAAATACCTAATTTCGATTTATTGAATTGATATGATGTTCTACTTTCAACGATAATCTACTTCCTAAGCTAATTTATGCTGTACATTCTTGCAAGTAAACATCGCACTTCAATGTTAGCAATTGCTCTCATTACTCTTCTCTCTTTTTTTTAGAACAAAACAATTCCATTACAGAACTGCGATTTAAATAAAAAAAAAATCCACTCAAAAAAGTTCAACGTTTTTTAATATCAATAGCAACCGAAGCCAGGCTAGTAAAGAAAAATACAAAGATATAATCCAACAAGCAAAACACATCAGGGCATGTAATCCGTTTGCAAATTTACATAGAGACTACAACCCGAAAGAGCCATTTACTAGTAGCTCATTGCTTTCAGTCCCAGGCATTCATATATATATATATATATATATATAGATATGAGAAAATGAAAACTGAAATCTAATTAACAGGATCATCGTTTGCTTGTTGCCACATCTGCCTGGGCAAATAAGCCAGACGCACCAGTGCCATGCATCACTTAATGGGGGAAACGAAGATCAGCCAGCTCCCCATGATAAAGAAAATCGCATAACCAAACTTTACTTTGCAAAGGAATCAGTACCTGAATGGAGTTGAATACCCAACTACATCAACATGGCATGGGCGCCATATGCAATCCAGTCTGAAGGCTGCACCGCTGCAGCAGCCCATTCCACTCTGTTTCCAAGCACCATAAATCACTTGAGACAATTAAACTGATTCTGAATCCCTTTTATCCTAAATGCCATCCATAAGAGTACCAATTGCCTCAAAAATAAGGGTGGCTAAACGTTCATCATGAGCACTAATAACAGTCTTAGTTGCTCTAACTTCGATCAAGGCTTTGCTTGGTTCATGGATATGTACGATTTCACCACTTCCAGATTCAGCATCACTCATGCCTTGCTCTATAGAGCCCTTTACACCCATCTTTGACAACACAGCCAGGAGCTTCTCCAGATCTGGCAAACCCCAATATAGTAATGGCTTCCTTCTTGAGAAGTTTGATACCTCGTTTCCTAAGAGTACCTGATGTTTGCCATGATTTATGAGTAGCTGTCCTTCCAGTCCGGTTATATCCATGTCATCATGATTCAACTTTCTCCAACTGAACTGTGTATCTATGTTTGCTACAATCTCTAGATCCACACTGCCTTTCAATTTTGGAACACCTAATGTTTCATTTTCAAAATAGTAGAATACTGAGAATGAATGTGAACTTGAAAACTTGATTTGTTTCCTCAAATCATCTGGGAACTATGTTGTACAAAAAAAAAAAAAAAAGGAAGAGACAGAATTTAGTAGAGAGATAACAAAGATGTAAAAAAACATCAAGGAGGGAGGGAAGAAGGGGAAGAGGATAGGTATATTACCAGGACAACTTTTGGCTGCAATATCTCCAGCAAAGGATGAATTTTTTGCAACCTACAAAAGAGTCAAAGGCATTAAATTATTATTTTTTTTAAAAAAAAAAAAACAGCAATAGTCTTGAACGTTGTTTTTCCTCCAAAAACACAGCAGCTTGATGAGGAAGCAAAGGAAAGAAGCAGATAAATCTTCAGTAACATAAAATTCTTCAACACTGAACAAACTTTAAGCTAATGCGTGTCATAATAAGAAAAAAGAATCTTCTATTCCAGCTGAATTCTGGACAAAAAATCTGCATGTGTTCCTGGTGTTTCATAAAGCAAGGCCAGAAAGTAGTTAATCTGAAAGCCTTAGAAGACCTAGAGGAAAACAAAAATTGTTTTTGACAGACATAAACATCCCAATTATCTACCATCCTAAAATTTCAGAAAATGGAGGTCTTGTAAGTGGGGCCTTAACTATTGCAGAACCAAATACACTTACCTTATTCCAGAAAGGAACGAGCACTGAAGAACCTTCATTGCCATTGGCTTGAAAGGCAAGAGAGCCATATCAGTATCCAGTCCATCCTGCAAGTTGAAAAATTTAATTAGCTGTTTCATAAAAGCAGTCCCAATTCAATCACATAATGGAACAATTTTTTAATCCAAACAACATTGAAGTGAACACAAAGAAAGAAAGTGCAATTTGGAAGTGAATGCGATAATTCATAGAATGTTTGAGCACCTCCAAAACAAGCAACGAGTTTTCATCCCCATGCCAACGTCGAAGCAATTGAACAACAGGACCAAGCCGCAGACTCCAGTGAGGAGAAAATATAATGCATGGTTCCTGCCAATTGGTTCTAAGCACATGATGTCAGTTTGTGGAGAGAAATAATTTTTATTACTGTACTGGATGCAAATTCATCAAATTCTGCTATTACAAATGCGCCTTTTTTATATGATACATCTTGCTTTCTGAATGAAGTATGCAGAATACTGTTAATAAAGGCAAAGATAATATTAAAGGTACAAAATATTGGAAGAATTTTCCACTGTAGAGGTATTAAGCCGAATGATTCTTTTGGGAAGCACAACTTTCAAATGTTTCTAAAAGAAACAGCTAACAGTGCTTTCAAACTTCAGCAACCATCTCATAATATGATAACAAAGAGCATCACTTATGTTTCTGGGAAGATTATGCAATCTAAATCTAGTTTCAATCTGAATCTAAGTCCAACTACAACAGGGCACAACTGAAATGCTTAGATGGTCTTGGAAAGACACTAGCTTAACGGGCAATTCTAACTAACCATAAGAAGTACTATAATAGATTTTCCTTCACAAAATACAAAGGAACAAGAAGAATTCCAGAGCCAAGTATTTTTTTGGGAACTCCCACTTTGATTTATCAAAAAATTTTGAACACTCCTTACATTGAAAAGTGGAGATAGGAAAACCTTTTGACATTGTCCTGTCACCATGTCAACTGCAAGAAATATATTTACATAGAAAGGATAGGAGTATCTTACAATAGTTCAGGTGAGTGAACAGCTGGAAAGACATAAAGTTTCTTTTGTTTCATGAGCTCGAAATGTGAAAACAGTGGCTCACCGGAAAATAGCTGCCAGGCCATCAAAAGAAGGAAAATTTTAACTTTTTCCTAGTTTATAGTGCTATTAATAAAGTAAAAGCACTAAGCAAAGTAAGACAAAAAGACTCAAAACTCAGGTACCTTTTCTTGTCGCTCCTTGCATAACCATTCTGGTATGACATTCGTGAATGCAAGTAGTTCTGCTGCCACAGAAGAGATGATATATATCGGAACCTAAACGATTATGAATAACTTGATTAAAATTTGGAGTAAGGAAGGAAGGCCTGCTAAGACTGCATTATTGATACAGACACTGTCTTATACAATGGGTAAATCTTGCTAGCCCTATTCAGTCAAAAAATCCCAAATGTTGTTTTTTGCCTTGAGAGGCAGCTACATACTTCATACACTGCATAGCCATTCATTAAGTTGCACCTATAGAAGTCGCATCTATGGCAAAATAATAACACTGCTTATTAGTAGAGAATGGTGCCATGAGAGCTTAATAAAATGAGGAGTGGGAAGGATTAGATAAAATCATGAAAGTAATAACAATATTGATTCTCTTTCTTTCTTCCTTTCTGTTTTTTTCCCCCTATAAACAGTGAAAATATCAGTAATTAGAAATATAAAAATGGTTATATGGAGCAGGTAATATAAACCTCTTGTATCCAATCATTGTGCATCAATATTGTTTTTGCCAATGTTGCAATTTGTTGCTCTACTTACATCATAAAGCACTTCATTGGGAAAGCACCAAATCAAGAAGACTGAAAGAAAAATCATCTTTGAGGTTTAACAAAAATGTTTTTCCAAGTTCTAGACCCGTATAAACTTTCTAAGTTTCAGCAGTTTATTCATACGTATTAAACTGCTTCATTCTTAAAAGTGTTTTTTTTTTCACATATCCATATGGTAAAAAAGTTTTCATAGTTTACCTTCACAGCAGAAGATTCAAGGTAAACTGGTATCTGTTCCAACATCTGTAGAACAATTCCAAGTCGATTTAAAGGAATAATGACAGAGCCACCAGCTTTAACAGAATCTACAGCACATGAGCATATAAAAGCCAGTTTCTCCCTTTCTTCTAAACTCCCATCATTAGACAATAAGCCTTCCTTCAACTTTATCCAATCATCTTTCTCACCACTGACATCCCTGGAAAAGCAGAACGTTCATTTGACAAATCCAGAAATTATAAACATTATGAACTAAATAAATCCTAATATTCAGGGATTGTAATAAAGAATCCAGCTGATATTTCATCCATTACACTGTCATAGATGTGTAAGGAGATGTTACCTGAGAGTTAACGAATTGTTGGTATTTGAAGCAGAATAGTTATTTTCATGTTCATCATTTGTCAAAACACCCTCAGATGAGAAGTCTGAATATAAGATCAGATCATTGCCTTGCAGAGCATGATAATCAAACTCCATTGCATGAGCAGAGAAAAAAGAAGAGCTTGAAATACATGCAACATTTCTTTTTGGACCATTTATTGTCCAATTACATGAGCCTATTTCTAAGCCTGAGCTGAATGCTTTAATCACCAATATCCCATTGTAGCAGGTTTCCTCAGCATATTTAAGTGTTTGAACCTTCTTCAAGCAATCCTCCACATCCGCAGAACTGAATGACATCCTCTATCAAAACATATTTGAAGTTTTAATTAAAAAAATATGCAACACGCCTAAAAAGTCTGCAGATAGAAGCGGAAGTAGCATAACTGAGAAGATGCTGGAGATAACCACTATATGAAAATGAAATTGTGAAAAGGCCAGCATAAGAAAATAACCAAACAGCATAAACTCACGGGGGTCTGCAAACCTATGATGAACAACACCCGAGCTTAAATATAATTATCCACTGCCATGCAGCTTTTCTTTTTCATTTTTTCTAGATTCAAGTTTCTCATTAATTTCTTTCCCAAATTGACAAGAGATGGGGAAAGTCCACATTAAAAGAAATCAACAGTACCCAAAGACAGAGAGTTAGCATAACAGAAAACAGTTTAAAAGAAACCCCAACAGATCATATGCATCATGCTGTCACGGGTAGCAATTTGTTTATTTAATCTGACTGTACCATTCTCTTCATCAAATATATTTTCTATGAGTGTTGTGGTAAACATAAGCACGTACGCAAGACAAAAAGAGATATTTGAGGAAAAGACTTGGTGCCAATTTTCCATCAAAATAGATTAATCATAAAGGTTTACAACACAATAACTTCAGTGTCAATTACCTGTACAGGGGCTTCCATCCACCTAACTCCATTCCATCTTTGCCTAAAGCTACTTCTCTCAATGCAGATGGAAGCAATTCAAGCTCTTCCCAATTCATCCACTGAGGAGAATTAGATTCAGATCCATAAAATTGCTGGAATTCACTATGCATTAAAACAAGATCCTCCATCATAAGCTGCCCAAGCCTTGCTGTCGCTTCAGTTACATATATCTAACCAATCAAACACAAAACAAATTAAAGTGCTTCTACACAGCAGCAAAGCCAGGCATCACATCTTTTTTCCTTTCTGTTTGTCTTCTTCTTATTGTTTTTTTTTTTTTTTTTTTTTTGAAAGAGGGGGTTTGTAGAACTATTACAATAACGTATTTCTCTCTCTCCTCTCTTTTATAATTTTTTCACATATAAATTATTTTATACATGCACTTGTTGTGAACAAGGATTTTAGTACACTTTATATTGTTTCTTTTTTTTTTTTTCAATTCAATGATAATTTTCTTTTTTATTGAATCAACTGTTATTAATTGGTAATTACGCTCATGACACGATCCCTTTGGTGATTGTCACACTTAGAATAAACTAGAAATGGCATTCCAGAGCTAGTTCCTACAAATAGATATATAACATGGATAAAAGTATTTTATATTTCAAGAATCTAATGTAACCTATAAAAGCTTTATCCCAGGACATTAAAATAGTAAACTCTCTCATCTATATGTCAACATTAAAGTTGTGACAAGTAAGAAAACAACTAAGGGCACGCACACACACACAAAATGAATAAATAAATAATCCAATGCCATAGAACCTTCAAAAAATCAGGAAATATGCAAGACATAGGCCAACAACAAGAGAACCACTACAGCGAATCAACAACTGTATAGGACGGTATGGATTCAACATGAAAGCAAGAATTCATGAACAGGGTAATTGCACATTTATTGAAGATTTTTTAACAAAACTGATTGTAGTAATTTCTAAAGTTTGCACTTACCTTAGCAGAAAACCCTTTGGTTTGAGTAAGTAATGGGAGGCCAAGCATCCCCATGGTGCTCGAAATCAGTACAAGATCAATGGAAGAAGGATCCCAAAGGTGCAAATTCTTGGGAGTTTTATACCAAGGCTGAGCACAGATTAAACTATCCGCATGAAGGGACTTCTCAATCCTCTGCCTCTTCCGCATATCGAAAGAATTGTGGACAGCGAAATCACAAGTTTCTTCCTCCAGTTTGGGATGAAAATCAAGAGGAACAGGGGAAAAGATTGTGAGAGCAGAAAGGTCCAAAGGGCAATCAAGTAATATCCTAAACCCACTTACATCAAGAATGTGACATGGTGGGAAATGGAAACCACTTCCTTTGCTCAAGCATGTCTGCAAAAATTAAACTTAAATTAAAATTTAAAAAAAATGAAATCAGAATTTCTGAGAGAGAGAGAGAGAGAGAGAGAGAGAGACTTACAAACTTCATGATTTAGAGAAAATTAAAATCTATATACTTTGCCTGCAAAAAAATAAATTTACAAACTAATTACACAACAACAAAGCTTAATCCCAAATTATTAGCTTATGTATCTTTTTGCAACATTCAGCATTAAATAAATTACGCAAAGAAAAAAGAAATTAGGGTTTGGAGTTCACCCTGCTATTACAAAAGAGGAGAAGCTCAGAGGTGGAAGTAACAAGGAAAGCGGAATCAATAGCGCCGACTTTTAAATCCCCAAAAAATTGAAGAGAGCGGAAAAGACGGCGTCGTTTACAGGGAAATAAACAACCAGAAAATAAAACACGCGGGAGTGATGGGCTGGAACTGAAAAATAAAAATGGTATTGCCGAATTCACCGCAATAATTTTTATTCCCACCGTTTGTTTTCTAGTTATTTAGTGACATATCCTCCTTTAATGTTTCTTAAATAATAATTTTATATATTTTATATTAAATATTTAAAATATCTATCAAACATTAACACATGATAAACAAACAAAGAAAGTTGGATTCATCTCTTTTTTTCTTCAGCTTCTTTTTCTATCTCTTTTTCTAATGGGAAACGGTTTTGGTAAACTCGATCTGTTTTATGAGAGCTGGAGAGACTTGTCGAAGAAAGGACATATCGGAATTAATATCCGACCCATTAGACGAAGGTCCGGGTCACTCCGATTGCTATGTGAGATCTCACTCGACTTGATTATTCTCCTCCAAAGTCCACTCGGAAGAAACAACCACCTTCCGTATCATATCCGAGTGCCTCCGTCAACGTCAACACATCCATGCCACTCTCCACGGCCTTCGTTGATCCTTATGTTTATAACACCATCGATCGAGTTGCCACTTTTGAGAGGTCAACTTATTTTGCTTCGATTCCTCTGTAACCAATCCCTAGAAGTCTATTTTGGTCCATCAATTCCGGCCCTTTAATGGGAAAATGACAGCTCCGATCGGTTTCAAAGAAGCTTTTCTCATGGTGGTTTTACTTTTAGATTCGGATCGAGAAAAAGGTCACCGATTCGAGTCTTACAAAGAGCAAAATTCATCAAATATTAAATTGAATCCTTCTAATCCCGCTCGGCTTCAAATCCTTCTACTACTTTTGATATTTTGATGAAAAAACATCAAAATAATGTAGGCTTAACTTTCTTTGTTTATTTTGTCATGTGTCAATGTTGATGAGTATTTTGGATATTTAATGTAAAACATATAAAACTATTATTTAAGAAACATTAAAAGAGAGGTATGTCAGTAGATTGATAGAAAATAAATGACGGAAATAACCATTATTGTAGTAAATTTAGCAATACACAAATAAAAAGGGAAAACTTTTTTAGTTTTAAAGGGAAGCACGATTTAGTACTTTTAGTATAGATTTAATTTTAATTGAGTCCAAAAGGTTTCAAAATTTTCAATTTTTTCTCTAATCTAGTAACCTAATCGGTTTGGAACTTAGAAGCTGGGTTCATCTAGGAGACAGAATGAAAATGGAGTAAACGACGTCGTGGTTTAAACAAAGTTAACCATACGAGATCAAAACCACTAGAAAGTCTAAAACCCTCTTTTTTGAGTAAAAGAAAGATATTGCTACTACTAGTGTTTTTTCCCAACCGGCGGTCTCATCACCGCCACCACCGGCCGTCTTTCCTTGTTTTTGGTGAGAAAATCCTCTACTTTTTGTTTTTTCCAATTGATAGGTTTAATGTCTTGTTTTGAGGGTATGATTTTTTGGTTAATTTGTGAGCGAGCGAGTGAGGTTTCTCTTCGATCATCATGTCTTTTGTTGTCGTATTTTGATGATTATTATGACTATGATGCTCTGTGTAGATTTTTTTAAAAAAATTTTTATGTGTGGAATTCTGAATGCATGTGTGTTGGCTGTGCTTTTCCGGTTTGCGTCTCTTAATTGTGGTGGAGTGTCCTTATTTGGCTGTGTTCTTCTCTTTCTTTCTTTTTTTCAAGGATATGGGGTTTTAGTTTTGATTGAGAAACCGAGTATTCTGACCTGAAACGCTTGTTCTTGTTTGATAGAGCCAGCTCAAATTTTCAATATTTGCACCGTTTATATATATAGCAATGCATCCCTGTTGTTCAGTTCTAGTTGTCTACTTTGTTGGTTGTATAGATTTCAGTTGGTTTCTAATCAAGCAGGTGCTATCCATTGGGATTAGGGGAAAGCAAAAAAATCTCTACCATAATTTCTCTCTCTCTCTCTCTCTCTCTCTCTCTCTCTCTCTCTCTCTCTCTCTCTCTATATATATATATATATATATATATACATAAAAATTGATATAATGGGATTTTTGAGACAAAGAAAATTGATTGGAAATTCAATTTGAAAAAAAATTTCCACTCTGTATTCTGCTCTCCTCCATGGCACTTCTGAACTCATTGCATGTTTTGAAAATTTGCATGAGGATCAATAGGGTTTGATTAAGTTTTGACATTTTGTGTAACTTGCAGCATATGCATTTGAATTTTGTGCGTGTGTGTGTGTGTGTCTATCATGCTTCCTTTAGATTGGCTATTATTAAATGACTCCATTCTGATTAATCTTATTCTAGTGACATCTCGCTCTGAGTAATATCTAAATGCTCTTAAAATACTACACCGCATAATCGTATTGAAGAAAAATATGTTACAAATTTATCTCCAGCTTTTGAAATGTTCAACAAGTTGAGTTGTTGGATTTTTATGTCATCTTTAGCTTTCAGACAGTTTCTCTGATTTGTGATACCAATATTTTTACTTTAAGATGTTCTATCTATCCTAGTCATGCAAGTGTTGACATATTCATCTCTGCAGGTTTAGACTACTGTCCTGTTAATATCTTGCACTGCAGGTGGGTGTTTGAAACACTGCTTTCTAGAGCCTAATACTTAATGGATTTAAAATCTAAAGGTATGGCCTGGGCTGGAGACATTTACCAGAAGTTTGAAACAATGTGCCATGAAGTGGATAATGTTGTGAACAAGGTATCTTTTTTTCTTGTTGTTTTCTTCGTTCTCTTTATCATGAATTAAGACAGGCTTTCTTCACATTTACCATTCTTTGAGTGAAATTATGTCATATTTTCTTTGATTGGTGTAACTTCTCATTCATGCATCAATATTTTTAGTTGTTACATATTGACTTTGAACTGTCCGCTGGCATGCATATTCTTGCATGCACCCAAAGCACAAACTTGATTTGGCTATTTGTTATACTTCTTTCTTGTATGTTCAGGATACTTTTAAATTCGTTGAAAACCAGGTGCACACTGTGGGTGAGAACATGAAGAAAATCTATTCTGATGTTGTCCATGATTTAATCCCTCCTTTGGTGGATCCTGCAAAATGTGAAGTGCCAGCAGCAGCTCTAAAAAGAAATGCTGCCATTGGTGCCTATATTATTAAATCTATGATTGGCGTTGATGATGATCATGGACATAATACTCAGACAAAGCAATCACCTGTGGAACATGGTGATTTTGATCCTATGACGAAGCAGCTAGGCAAGGAATTCTGGGAGCTTCAGGTTGCAAATAAATTGCCTGTTACTGGCAATTCTGAAGAACCCCTTGAAGGTGCAGAATCCGAGTCAACTCCTGGAATTGTTGATGTTACAACTGAGACTTCTGATGTGAGCACAGAAGAAAATGAAGTAAAGGAGAATTCATCTGGACCTGAGGAGTTGGAATCTACTACTCATGGAGATAAAGAACCTTTTGAAGCATCAAGTGAAATTCCTAATTTTAGTTGTGAAAATGCGTGTGGGTTTCTGGCTGAGCCACCTGTTTATGGCGAGGAGTTTCAGTGTCCTCAAGAGGTGGAAACTGTATGTGATAGCTCCACGGGTGACACTTACTCTGCTGGTGCTATTGTTTCTTCTTCTCAAATGGCCTTTTCGGCTCGATCTTCTGAAAGGGAAGTAGTGGAGATGGAAGTTGGATCCCCCAGCAGTTCCATATTCAAGGAATCTCATATTCTGCCTGAGAGCCCGCTCAATAACATTGCCTGCAGCAATCCTTGGAATGTAGCTGGCCATGATTGTGACAGTTCCACCATGCTTATGTCTTCTACATCGTCTCATTCGGATAGTTCCCTTGTGTTCTTGTCGTCTACATTTGCTCCAACTGTTTCTTGTAAGATCAAGGCAGCAGACACAGGGCTTACCTCCTCCAACAGTGTTCTGTCTTTGGTATCAGTAGGTTGGTAATTCTCAATTTCTGTTTTATTCAGGAATCATAATTTGGTAGAAGAAGACTCTAGAATCATTCATGCCTACTTCAAAGAATCATGTTGGTGGAAAAAAACTCTAGAATCATTTTAGCCATCCCTTTGAATTAATTATGTAAAACCATGTTTTAATATCTTGATGGCTAAATATCTTTGCATGTGGGTTTGGTTTGGAATCCATACAACATTCTCTCTCTGTGTGTGTTTCAAAAATATTATGAAAGAATAAGAGCTGATGAAACTTGTCTGGTTCACATTGAGATATCTTGTTATGAAACAAACGTATATTAGTAAATCAAGATCAACATATGTCTATATTGTAGTAGTGTTATTGGTAAAAAGTTGTAATAGCTACACTCATTGGCCCAAGATATGTTAACGTGCAGAAAATTTGCTTTGTGGCAAATCAAGAATGAATTATTAAACTGTTGTCTTCTTAAAGTAAGTTAGCATATGAGCCTGAGTGGCACCTCTGAAATATTCTTGAATATGGGAATGACGTACTGTTTGAATGCACCCTCTGACTAATAATTTGGATGGACGGTTTTAGCAAAAAGAAATATGCATATTAACAGAATCAATGAAATTCTAAATTTTATTGGAACGGCATGATTATTAGATTGCTGTAATCTCCAAGCATTATTTTAGCTATTGCAAACAACCTCCATATGTTCAGTATGTTTAGAATGTATTGTCCATGCCGTGCATAGTAAGATTTCCATGCATATGGCTTGATGGATTTGGCATGTATATGCTATATCTTATTAATGGTTCCCCTATACTGAGGTGTTAATGAATCTTGCACCTTAGGCATGGCCTTCTGGAAGTTGTTCATTCTTTCTAATAAGAGAATGCATTTATGATATTGCAGGTGAGGATAAAATTAGCCATTCACATCTTGTGAGTTATAAACCTGCTTGTTTCTTGGTGACTTTCTTTTCTTATTTTCTTGTTAGCAAAAATGAGCTTTCAAACAAGAACCATAGCTGATCCCTTTTTACATGCCAATATGTGCTACATTTGCTGGAACTTGCAATTGTCATCCTTTTACTAAATTCTAGAAGCATGTGTAGGATGTTCGGATGGCTCTGCTATAGAAGATTTGACTGAATCTGAAATGGAAAACATTGATTTGTCTGACAATGTGAAGCTTGAGGAAAGTTGTGTCATTGTTGACAATAGCTTGCTCTATGAAGTCTCTCGTAGAAACCGTAGACTCAGATCATACAAGGTTCTCTCTCTCTCTCTCTCTCTCTCTCTCTCTCTCTCTGTGTTTTGTGTGTATATGCACCATGCATGAATGTAAGTTGGTGGCTGTGGGTCTGTATGTAGTGGGGAAAATTTGTTTGGAGCTTTACATATATGTTCCAAGTAAATGGTATGTTGGAAAAAAATTATTTGCAGCTATGCAATTGCTATTTTTCTAAACTTGAGGGGAGAATGAAGTTATTTCTACTGTATTTAGTTTGCACACATTAGCTATATCTTTGAAATTTTAACTTTCTAGGCTGGCAATCTTTCTATTGTGCTTTTAATTAAATAGCACCATCTTGTGAGGGTGAATAAGTAAGGCTACATATCTAGAAATTCACTAGACACTGTAAAGCCACGCAGCACAATTTGAAAATTTTTCTTGAGATAATTATTGTTCACAACTTACGACTTGTTATTCTTGGTAAATGAAACTCCATTATAATCTTGTTTGTTTCTATTAATTTTTCAATTTTGTAGATAATAAAACCTACTGACTCCCTTTTGGTTTTCTTCCTTTTTAAGAAAAAAATCCAAGATGCTTTCTCTTCGAAAAAGAGGGTGACCAAGGAATATGAGCAGCTAGCAATTTGGTTTGGGGACCTTGATGGCCCTGATACGATGCAGCGTGAGTTGTCATCTAGTACCACCATCACCTTGGATCCCGATCCACAAGCTAATTGGACACAAGACTCTGAATGGGAGCTTCTGTAAACAAATTGCGAAAGATGTGGATAAACATAACTGTGCTAATTGCCCACCCCCCACAACCACGCCCGCTCCCCCCCCTGGCGCCCGGCATCCCTTGTACAGGTAAATAAGTTGAAGATAATGCCACAGTCAGTGAATAACGGTTGAAGGGTATTAAGTTTGGTATAGAAAAATATAAAGTAGAGGACGAATGGTTATCTTAGTAGCACTTGTGCTATTACTTTTCATCTTTCATCTTTGGATCATAGTATCTTCATGTTTGAGCTTTCTTTTCATTTTTCCATCTTGATCATAGTACCTTCATGCTCGCTTGTTAGGGGAAAGAATTTTCAACAGCCCAAAAAAGGGTTCCATTACTAATTTAATTGTCAACACATGATGCAGAGGTTTTTGCCTTCTTTTTTTAAAAAAAAAAAAAAAGCAAAAGGTTTGCATCTCTCCACTGTCCTTGTTACAAAAAATTTTGATGATTCTGTAACAAATATGCGTACAGAATCTCATTCCAAGTATCAGGAACCCCTGGTAAACACCAGTGGATGCAGTCTGCAAATATTTTTGGATCAGATCTTTGTTCCTTCGTCAAGAGCTTACCCTTGCGTTCACCATAAATAGTTGTATGAGCATCTTTTCTATACTCCGACAACTGGGTGATATTCAAAAAAGTTACTTTGATTTTTGATTTTCTTAAAACATCATCAACTATCTTCATGATCTGGAGATTTGAACCTGTGCCCCAGTATGGACCTTCGGTTGGGTAAGATTCATTGAAGCAGTTTTCATCACTTCCAGGCCTCCATTCCCAACTCCTACAAAAGAATGTTATGATGTTCTCTCACTAGGGCAAGTACTTCCTATGTTACCCCAAACATGAATGAAGCTCGATGTATTGATTAAAAAAAAGTAAGAAATGGAAGTAGAGATAACAACGCAAACAGAGATTAGCTTACAGCCTGATACTATTTGCCTACAATTAGAATGGGAGGGCTCGTTTCAGCATTATCTGACTTTGTTATTCTATTATTTTGAACCTTATATATCATCAAAGGAGAAGTATAGGGTTAGGTCAAACCATTAGAGAGGTGTCTGCTTTAATCCTACATTTTAGTGAAGTTCCACAGAAAAATGGCAAAGAGTGACAACTAAAAAGATGTGAGACAATTGATCTTTAACCTTGGATTCAAGTTTTAACGGTGACTACAAAGATGAGGTTAAACTTAATTAACTTGTAACTCACCACAAATGAGTTGAAGACATACTCATGAAGAACACCTTCTGCTTGGTAGACTTGATGTTGGATTCTAGCCAATTTGCCCAAGTATCCAATGCCAACTTATATGCAGTGGTTACATTGTATTCTTGAATGTCATCTGGTGATCCATGTCTGAAACAAAAACCACATAGTTAAACAATCTTCTGATAGATTCAAGTTTAATTTTGCTTGGTTACATGCATGAGTTAAGCAAAGATGTGAGAACTGAGTACTTACGTAGCATTGATCAAAGGCTTGTGCATCCACCACACGTAGCTCTCGAATACTAACACATCAACTCCTTCCCAGGCCTTTCCATGTTTAGCAATGGAGTCGAGATTAACCAGGCGTTTTAATACCGTATGATTTGTTGCATGATCTGAAATGGATTCCACAATGAAGGGAGCCCAATGATACTCGATTGATGCGTTGTACTCCTGCAACATTTTGTGGGAAGGAATGAAATGTCGTCCAAATTTATTGGTTATAATCATATATGATCACGGTTCGATTTTGTTGGATTATTTAGTCGACAAAATGTCCATGGCTAACTGTTTTTGTTTTGGAGAAAACGTTGGAAAAAGTTTAAGCAAATCGAGTACCTCAGCTTTGAAGATCTTCATAGGAGGAATTCTGTGAAAAGATTTTTTTCTATCAGGAATTACAGACTGTAACATACAGACCATAGATTCAAATTGGCCTCTCTGTACCGAATCTCCTATAAACATCAGCCTTTTGCCCCTCAAAATGTCCAGTAGCTTTAATGGATGGAATCTGAGACGTCAGAGAACATATTAAAAAGTCTCAGGACTTTCTGCATTTCTACGGGCATAGAATCAAATTAATCCAAAAAACGAAAAGGGGGAGGGGGGTTGTGGAGGATTGTCTTACCTTGGTAATTTGCATGCATTAGGCTGCCACCTCCAATTTTGGTAGAAAGAATCAGGTCTACCGTTTCTTTGGCAAGTGGTCTGTTTAACCAAATAAGGGCAACTTTCTTCCGTATAAAGAGGATGGGATACATTGTCCCACACCCATTGTCCTTCAAAAACATTGCACCCTTCCTCAAAGCGATCTTTAGGCAAGACAAAGACTGGTTTTTTATACTTGCCACCTTCTTGCCTTCCATATACCTTGAAACTACAGCTCTGGTTACTCTTTAAATTATCTAGGACTAATCTCGCAGTACCTAAAACAAGGAGAGAAGCTAGTGCCACCGGGAAGAGGGATTGAATTCGTCGATCAACCGACGGTTTGATCGTCATTTAGGATGGGTGAATAAAACTGAAGTGGTTGTGTTTTGCTTCCTTTCAGAGACAGCTAGCTCCCTTTGTATTTGGAAGTGTGTCTTCAACTTCAAGTCTTTTAGACAGAACTCCATGCAACCACCAGTTGGTAGATAGTTTAGGTAATGTCTTGAAAAGCATCGGGACTTGGACCATCCTCATATAAGTTAAGAAGCATATAGCACAAGTAAGCCACTTTGAAGTTGTTGAAGTTTTGATTTTTGTACTTAGAGAGGTAGCACATCAACCTCCTACGAAAGGGCATAATTACTTTGGTGGTTTCTTAATGAGTTGTTGGTTTATAACTTAACCATTTTCTTCTGGTCTTCATACATTCTCCGGATTCAGATGGTGATTTTAAGCATTTTGACATCCAATTCAACTTGATTACTGGTGATGGTTAACTACTCCTTGCCTATGGACCTTTGCTCGAACAGTGTCGTCATTGCTAAATGCTATATATATATATATAAGGAAATATTATCTTTCGGTACAAATCTTAGATACCTAGAGACATGGACCAAATTATAGAATTTTTTTCCCTTTTCAAATGGTGTTCTTTTTAGCCAAGCTAAAAACAGTTTTCAGATGAATTAAAACAAGCATGGTACTTGTATTAAAAAAAAAAAAAGGCATATTAAAACAAAATACAATTTTATTAGAAATAGTAATATTATTCGGGATAGAATTAATAAAGTTTAATGTATTTAATAGATATAATTTTAGAATTCAAATTCTACACGTCAACAAAAAATTCATTTAAATATCATTTTGTTCATTATTAAATTAATTCCTTATTGATATATATTGATATAATTTAGTAACCCAAATTAAATTTAGTATTTCAATTTTTTTCTTTGACCATTAATTTAGACCTAATCTATAGATAACTCATTTTTATATGATCAATCTATTCAAAAATAAATTCAACTTTGATGTAAGGAAGTTGATGCAAGATAACGCTTGATCATGTAAAATTATATATATATATATAATTCATTAAAAGTAGAAAAATGGAAAAATCTAAAAGTAAAACCTCTTAATAAGCCTCTTACTAAGCTTAAAACCTCAGCCTATCTAAAAACCAAAACCCCCAACAGCAGAACAGAAGAGAAGAGACAACCAATTTCAAGTTTAAGTTTCCTTTCAGAAACTATTTTAACCATCAATCAATCTATCACTTCGTACACCAAATAATGCTAATGAGCGAACTGTGTGGGCTCCGCCCACGCAGCCTCCACTTCCTGCTCCGCCCGTCTTCCTCCTCACTCTCTCGCCACCGCCTCCAATTCAGCACCACCACAACATGCTCCATTCCAGTCCCAAATAGAAAAGACAAGGTAATAGTAATTTCTGGTCCCACAGGAGCCGGCAAGTCCCGTCTTGCATTAGAGCTCGCCAAGCGCCTTAACGGTGAAATTGTCAGCGCTGACTCCGTCCAGGTCTTTCCTTTCTTTCTTTTGCCCCCTCTTTTTATGCTTTATATCTTTATTTGGTTAATCACCTGTTTCGGTTGCTGCTTTTGGAAAATAAAAAAGTTAACTTGAAAGCAAATGGATTGGAGGGGTTTAACCTTTTAGTTGCTAAGAGAAATGTAGGATAACGAAGAAGAATTTTTTATTATCTCAAGACTTTGAAGAAGTTAGGCATGAACATTTTATACATCTGGGTTTATTTCAGATAGCCTTCTTTTTATGCTTATTGAAATCTCTATTTAAATGAATCGATTGTTTTATCTGGCTTGTATTGTAGGTATATCGTGGTCTTGATGTCGGATCGGCAAAGCCTACCCCTGGTGAAAGAAAGGTCTTTGCTCAATATATTATGCTTTTGTTTTATTGTTGTTGTTGTTGTTTCTATTGACAAGTTTCACTTTTTAATGGCTCTAAACTAATTGTAGGTCATCATGTATTTCGTGCTGGTGTAAATGTTTTAAGTAATTCTCTTCATGAGCACAGAAACATCTTCACCTACATTTTGGTAGATATGCATCTCATAACTTCAGATATGTTTTATATGGAAGAAAAACTGTGAAGCTTTTGATCAACCTCAACATGTTACTTGATGCGTGTTATGTGCTTGGAAATGGTGCACTTGACTAATTATGCTTCACACACAATTTTAGTAACTTAAAATAGCGTTAAGACTCTCACCAGGTGACAGAATTTCATGTATTGTTAATTCAATATAAAATTTGTCACTTTCCCATGATTAAAATTATTGAACACTAGATTGAAGTTTGGAAAAAAAGAAAGAAAGAAAGAGAATCTTAGAAAACAATTTTATTTATGCTGACGGACTCTTTTCATGCTTTCTGTCCTCCCTTGAAAGAATAATATAGCAATAATGCAACATAACATTACAAGAACATAATGTATCTGCTAAACATGCCAATTTTTCTCAGCATAGAGATATATATATATATTTTTTGGCTTATATTGATATGCAAACATTAACTGGCATTTGATAATTTAGCTTGTGTGAATCGTTGTTATTATCTCAAACTGAACATCTTTTTGCAGGAAGTCCGGCATCATCTGGTTGACCTATTACACCCATCCGAAGGTATGGTTTTTGAAGGACCAGCTGATGTCAATAAAGCAAAATATAACACTTCGTTTTTTATTGTAATTTTTGTTTTGCTCTTTGTTTGAATACAAACCCCTCCTTTAAAATGCTTATCATACCATTTCCATTCAGATTATTCAGTTGGGCAATTTTATGAGGATGCAAGGCAAGCAACACTAGATATTCTCAAAAGTGGTCGTGTTCCCATAGTTACTGGTGGGACTGGGTTGTACTTGCGATGGTATCTTTTTGCATAACTCAACTCTAATTACAGTCAATTTTTTTCTAGAGAAGATCTTCCCCTTCTTTTGGGTTGAAGAATAGAAAACCGTACTTATAAGAAGAGTCTCAAACTACTTACTACTTAAGCTTTCAAAATCACATCATTGCAGCATTTAAATTTATGATATAATGGTGGGTTAATAATGAGTTTGGATCAACATAAATAAGAACAGTTCTTTTTGCTTTTCTTTTTTCTGGGGAAAAAAAAGAAGCTTAAATGAGAACATAACTCTTTTTGGAACGAATAAGAACATAACGCTATGACTCGGTGTATCCTTCATAACTGTTGATTGGACACATGCAGCATGTGTAGCTGCAGAAATAAGGAAAAACTAGTTATATTGATTTGAAAATGGTAATATAGATGTTTACTTTAACTTTCATGTTCAACCAGTTAAAATTAAATCATCATACCGTTGCCAAAAATGTCTCTACCCTCTACTCTTTCCTATTTCCTTGAATATCATCTATGACACTATTCCTGACAAGGGACAGTTGGTTGACTATTCCTTATAGACATGACCTTACATATATTATTTCCAACATTTCCTTATCTTGTACGACAATACAGCTCTATGTTTTAGGCCGTGCTGTAAAGACTTTAAAAAGGCTACTTTCTTTATTCTTGTCCTTCTTTCTTTACCCCCCTCCTTTTGGGATCAAAGGCTTCTAGTGATACATGGGGTATTTTCTCCTCTCTGATGAAAATGTTTGTCATAAACTTTGTCAAATGGACTTTTGCTTTGAATTAAGTGTTTTAATACACTTGGAGGGTGCAACGATGATCATAGTATAGATGTGCCATCACATATATGCATGAAAGCAATTTCATTCTTTTATCAGATATCAACTATCCATAATTTTACTTGTATGCAAAGCAAGGCGAATGAATGAGGTAATGGCTAGCGGAATATATTCCACAATATAGCAGTCATTAAATTTAAACATTCTTGTATTGCAACTTTAAAATGAAATGCAGTAGTTAGAATTCTGAAACCTTTGTGTGTCAGTGCTTCGTCTAAACCAACTTTAGTGCTCTACTTGTAGTATCTCTATCACATTCTTTTTCTTTTTAGCTCTTAAATGAATGGGTAATGATGCTAGTGGATCAGATACCTCGATATAGGTTAATGGAAGGAAATTGTATTGCTTGAAAAACACACAAAGAGCATCTTATGAGGCTAGTTCTCTTATACCTCTTTAATTTGATTATTAGGTTCATATATGGAAAGCCAGATATTCCTAAAGCCTCACCAGAGATTACATCTGAAGCATATTCTGAGCTTGCAGAACTCGAGAGGAATGGGGATTGGGATGCAGCTGTGCAGTTGTTGGTCAAAGCAGGTGATCCAAAGGCACAATTGTTGGCTGCCAATAACTGGTATCGGTTGCGGCGTAGCCTTGAGATAATTAAGGTTAATTTGAAAAGTTTTATAGCTATGATAACCTAATTTAGATGGAGGTCATGACTGTGCAATTTTGATTGTGGGTGTTGGGCATGTGAATTGTTGAAAATTCTAGTAACTGCACAAATATATGGAACCATTGACCCAACATGAACAAAGTGATTTCTGTAAGATTTTTCAACCAAAAAATAAAAAAATAAAAAAAATAGTAGAAATATCCAAACTTTTTTAAGTTAATAGTCATTGTGGCTGCAATTGGTGCAAAATGCTATATCCCATTATTGAACAAGGTATAACTTAAGAAGCCCTTAAAAATCCATAATGTAACGACCGTCATGAAATCACAACAACCAAATCCCTCACCCTATTATCTCCCTCTCATGCTCCTCCCCCTGTCACATGCGTGCAAGTGCCCCACTTCCCAACAAACACTGGGAAAAGTTGATATATTGCAGAACAAGGTATTTTTTAATTTTTTTTTAATTTTTTTTTATTTAAATGTTAATTATATTTGGAAACTATTTCCTTTTGTTTGTGTTTTATAGGGCTGCTTAGTTCTTATATAGATTGAGTTCTTGTATTTACCATTGATTTTTGTCTCTTGGCTTGGCAGGCTAGTGGATCTCCTCCATCTTCGTTTCAACTTCCATATGAGTTTTTCAAGGAACAATTTGATACAAGTTTAACAGACAGCTCCTATGACGTGAATTCAGCTGGTGATGTACCTAATCAAGTTAAATTAAAGGATTTGGACTATGAGTTCATTTGTTTTTTCCTTTCAAGCCCCAGACTTGATCTCTATAGATCAATTGATTACCGGTGTGAAGATATGCTTTCAGGTAGATTAAATCACAGCTCATCATTATTACAGATGCATATTTGCTAAAAAGGAATATACTAATAAAAGAGAAGAATGTACAAGGACAATAAGAGGAATAAGACATCACCTAATGAGATGAAAGGAAAAAAAGAGAGAAGAAACTAAATATCAACTAAAGGCACTCTTAGAGCTAATAAAGCATTGTCTGCAAAGACGCTGGGAGTGCTTCTCTTTCCCTTCGTCACAAAGTAGGACTGTCATTGAAGATTTTAAAATTTTTGTTCCATCTAGATGCTCAGTCAAACTGTGTACTTATCATGATTAACAATTTATAAGAGAAATTCTCCACTCCAACAGAATTACCAAAGATTCACCACTAATTGCAAAAAGCCTATGCCACATTTCCCAATAAGCTGAGATGTGTAGAAAAAAGTGTTACATTATTTTTCTCTTTGTTAGAGATCTCAGAATTTTCAGAGCACGTCTCCATTTGTCGTAAACATCAAATATTGTTTTTTGTATATATATATTTTGAATGACATGAAATTTTCATTTGCTCATTTATGTGATGTGGATAATTACATTGTTGTATAAGGGCCCTGCTATTTGTGAAGATTTAGGTTTATTCTGTGCGATTTTAGTAATCCAAAAATAATATATTTCTGTTTTGGGCTCAACTTTTTTACATATGAAGTAGCATTTTAGGAAGTTTTTGGGGGCAACATACTTTTTTTTTTCATACCTACTATCTAGAGATACCAGCATCGTGAATGGTCCACTTTGACATTTATGCTTACATTTTCTTGGGAAATTTGGATTTTAAATAAAAATGGTTTGAGCAGGATTTGGCATGGTATGCGGTCAGATGGTTGGATTCGATTATTGGTGGAAACTTTTACACTTGATTAGTTTGGAAGGGTACCATTCCCTTAATATCACATTTGGTTAACATCTTAATTTCCTGCTCTTTTGTCAATGCAAGTTAGAATAGTACCTGAGATGATTATGCAACATCAAGTGATATGTTCATGTTTGCTTTAACAATAAGATGCTAGGATAACATTCACTCAACATGCTTTTCCATTTATTCCTTCAGTCAAAAAATAAGAGGCCTCTGTAAATTTTTTTTTTAAAAAAAAGACAAAAATATTTATTTCTAAATTGAAAAATAAAGAGTTTTGTGTTCAATTTGTAGCAACTACAAAATCTCTAGTTTAAATGAAAAAAAAAAAAAATTATTCTTCTTTTTTTTTTTTTTTCAAGAAATGAAAGTATTTATTGCTTTCTTTTGTAGCTGCTCATTTTAGGATTGAGGGGGTGTCTGTATTTAGAATTTTCCTTTAAATTTAGAATGTATATTAGTTCCCTTTGCATAGTCCACTCCGAAGCAACATCAATTTTGTGTTTATTTGACTTGGCTGTAGGGAGTGATGGGATTTTGTCTGAGGCCAAATGGCTTCTTGATGAGGGTCTTCTTCCAAATTCCAATTCTGCAACTCGAGCAATTGGTTACAGACAAGTATGCCTTTGAAACATTTTTATTTAGTATCTTTTGTGTTTATATTGTTTTATCTATCATGTGAAAACCATTATGTTGTTTTTATGTTTCTCGTGAGTGATATTCAGGTCAGTTGCTTGGTTTTCTCATCCATTTCCTCCCTTACCTAATTAGCTTAATCAGTTGAATACATTCAATTTTGTTTGCCAATAGTTACCATAGTATTCATCATAACAGATGCTTAAACTTGGATTGGTTTGTTTGCTTCTTTTTCAGAGGGAACACATCTGATTAACATACAACTCAATTCAATTTTGTCCTTTTTGTTTAGTTTATTGTGGGAGATCATTGTCATTAACTATCATTTCCAATTGATTGTGTTTTTTTTTTGTCTTATTGGTACTTTATTTTTTGCCATGTTGATTTGAATGATATCACAAAGTTTATTTGATTCAAATTTATCAGGCTATGGAGTATCTTTTAAGGTGTCAAGAAAATGGGGGTAGGAGTTCTGCCGGAGAATTTTATGCTTTTCTATCTAAATTTCAGAAGGCATCTAGGTAACAGTTATCCACTTCAAAATTGATATTTATGTCTATTGGTAAAAAGTTTTTTTTTTTTTTTTTTTTTTTTTTAAAAATAACCACTGAAGTCAGCATTGGGAAGGTTGGGTCATGTGTGAAGTAGAGGGTAAACAAGAGTTTAGCTGAATGTGCTGCTTTTGAGAAAAGGGAAAGAGAGAGAGCAGGATATTAGAAAAGAGGGAAAGAGTAATGAAATAATTAGTTCTTTACTGGATGCTTTCTTGTGCATGTGTATGAAATGTATATTCAAGCTTTTCATGCATTTTGGAGGATGCATCCTTCTCTTGTTGTATTCGTTCTTCTTTGTCTTCTAATAAAATTCTCGTTTCTTTGGGAAAAACAGTATTAATAATGTCTATAATACATTTGTCGTGGCTTATTTTATCGGTGAAAGTATCATGAAGGTCCTTAGGCACTTGACATTTGACAAGTTCTGGATAGAGAACTTTGACAACATATATGTTTTCTAGGTTGAAAGGTGGGTGGGATCCTACTGCAACCTCTTAATAATATCAGGGCAGTAGCTTGAAATTCGTATTTTAATTAATGTATATTAAGATCTGTTTGTAAAAGAATTTGATTTCCTTCAAGATGGAGAAAAGGTTTACTTGTAGCCTAGTCACTATGTGTAATCCTATCAGAGTTTGGATGTTCTTGTCTAATGAATGTTAATAAAGTGTTTTATTTTATTCTATTTTTGCCTTTTCTTTTCAGAAACTTTGCAAAAAGGCAAATGACATGGTTTCGTAATGAACATATCTATCATTGGCTTGATGCTTCTAAACCTCTGGTACGTTCAAGTTCAATGCCATGTTTTCTCTTTGCAATGGTGACTAAAAGCTGGTTGGCATACTGTCGTTGTTAATTGTTTGGTACTGTACAATTCTCTTTTACAGAGCTTAGATATGCATGTTTATATCGTGGTTGGGCATTTTTTTTATATCATCGTGCATGCTTCTGAGTTCATGTTGAGAAACTTGTTTGTGTAGTGAATCTCCAAGCTTGTGTGCCTGTGGGCACACATGCAGGCACGTTTCTCTGTGATAATTGAAGGTCCCAGCTGGTGGATCACATGTTTATGTATTTTTATCATTGTAGTGCACCTTTCATCAGAGTGATGTGGAAACACCATGGATTCTTTGATCTAATGAATGGGGGTTGAGTGAAAGATATTTTGTTTAAGTTCAAATCTTTTCTTGTTCTCAACTTTTATTTGCTTTTTCCCACTTGTGCTGGTGCATAATCATATAGAAAAAATTTTAAAACTGGAAAATGATGTTGCAAAAATTCCTCCATTCCATTGAAGACATGATATGTTGTGATTTAGAGTTAACCTGTTATTTAAGAAAAATCTTGAGGACTTTCGATTATCAAAGCTGCCTTGGATATAGCCATGTTCTACGGCTAAAAATGTCTGAAGTGGCACCATATGCCTTTCCCAAATGCAAATACTTTACAGTAAGAAATATTATTCTGCCTTCTTTCCTGAAGAAAAAACACCTTAATTCTTTTTTTCCTGGCAAATTATCATTTATGGTTCTCTACTCTCTGCTTTTTATGGCCTTCTGTCACTTGCGCAAGTGATAAACATATAACTGGGGTTTGCAAAACGTGGAAAAGTTTGCCATATTGAAGTTCTCTTTTTCTCTGCCTTTATGGGCCTCCTCTCACTTGAGCAAGTGATAACCATTTAAGTGAACTTAAACAGCCTGGAAATAACTGTGCTCAGTTAAAATTTTATATGCCAATAAAACTGGAATTATGTCTTCCAATGTAAGTGGCATTAGTCTAATATCCAGCAGTCAGTAACTATTAGTATTATATGTATACACCAAAATTTACTAGCAGGAACAATTTTCCAAAATTTCTAGAGAGTGGTGGGGGGTTTGCTTTGCTTCTGGACAACTGTACTCCAATCTTGAAAGAAGAAATCTTTCATTTTTTATTTTTATTTTTAATTTTTTTACCAACTCTCTGACTGGAGAACTTTCTAGAGAAAATTTCTCCTGTTCTTTCAATATTCTAAAGTCTAAACATTCTTTCTGTTCACTAGCTGAAAATTCCAATACAAGAAGCTAGTCAAATCTTGGATTTGAGAGACGTTGAGTCAGGTGTTTGGGGAGAGAGAAATTATAAAATTCTGGCAAAACATAGTAGATACAAGGGAACATTGACATAAAATGGTATCATTTTCAGTTTTTGGCATGGTTGATCATTATTTTACCATTCTTCTGAGGATCCCACTATCAGTTTCCAGGTTGTACAGAAGGATGGAATTCAATCATTTAGTTTCTCCTTGTAAAGCAGCCACACACTTGTAGTCCATTGGTGGAAGCATCTTTTCTCCTTGCTAACTTTCCTATGTTATTATTATTATTATTATTTCAGGAAACAGTGCTTAACTTGGTTTATGATGCATACCATGACCAAACTGGAAGCTTTGTTGTGCCTGAATCTCTCAGAATGAAGAAAGATATGACTAACAAACGGGAGGTTCTTCAACTCAAGGCTTATCGCACCAAAAATAGGTATAGTTAACAAGGACAGATAGGTTTTTTTTTCTTTTTTTATGGCAAGACACTCAGGAGTTTGTTTTATTTGTGAAGGCATTTTGTTAGTCGTGATGATTGCTCTGATATGCTTGACTGGATAAGAACAACTCAAGGTGAAGCAATGAGCCCAGTGTAACTTCATGATGTCTGATCTCTATTTTGGCCCATCTGGAACTTGAAACTTTCATATGGAGGTAGCCTTGGAGTTTCTTCAAAAGGTGAACCTTTAAGACCCTTGCTTTCTCATGGTATGTTAGAATTCTACACCCAATTTTAACTGGACTTCCTGATATGTTGCTGCAGTGAAACTAAATGGACATGAACACAATGATAGGCATTGTTTGAGAATTCACCCTAGAATTTTCAGACCTATACATTGGTCCTTTTTCCCGAGTGGGCCAAAGCATCGAGTGCAAAATCAATGTATTTATGCACGGATATTCTCTTTATTTTGTCAGTGAAGCAATAGGGTATAGTGAGAGTTGAACTGTATATGAATGCAGCAGGTTTCAAAACATTATCCTGTCAATGAATTTACCATTTTGCTTTTCCTTGAACTGAATAAACAATTTTGTGTTTGCAGTGTTTACGAATGTAAAATTGGCTCTGAAATTAATGATAGAGAAGCAATTTGTGTATGCAATGTGAGTAATTTATTAAGCATTCATAAATAAATCACCCAACAAGCAAGCAGGCATTATTATTATTATGCACTGCAAATCAAGATGGAAACCACTTAAACACTAAGTGATCAAAAGGATTGGATTCAAGCACCACAAGAATTGGCCTCAATTGCTATTCATATTCAGTCTCTCGTAATTTAGGTATTTTTGCTCCATTAAAAAACAGAATTTCCTTTTTGATAGGATAGGATAGGATAGGATAAAAAAAAAAAAAAAGCACCTTTAAACAAAAGCAGTTTTAGTGGTGTAGATTAGATGAATATTCATTTTTTTGTTTTTTTTTTTGTCCGAGAAAAATCTCCACATCACGTGACCTAATAAATTCACCATCACACCGAGTCACACACTTTTTTTTTTTTTTTTTTAACAATGAAGATGCATTCGAATTATTTTTTTTTATGTATTTCAAAATTAATTCCTCCCTAAACATGATTTAAGAGCATTTTTTTTAACACACATCTCCAATATTATAAAAATAAATTTTCAAAATTATTAGTTACGAAAATCAAACTCTAGAACTGTCTTACAAGCAACACTTGATTACAATCTATAACACTTAAAAATCATAAAAGCCTAAAGAATTAGGTTTAAATGACCCTTTCTTTATTTATTTAAAGTTAAAATCACAAATTAAAAGTAAATAAAAGTTAAGGATCACAAGTTAAAAGTAAGAAGTGAAATTTTGATGAATCTTTAAGCTGAACATAAACAATTTATTTTTAATTTAAAACTAATGAGATTTATTAGATTAAATAAGAAAGTTTACTTTTTGATAATTTTAATTTTGAGATCAAAATCTTAATAACGATTCGAAATGTCTGTCTCTTCAAGATTTAGCATCGACCGTTGTTGCTCAACTTGTGTCGAGGATATTTCTGGCCACAGGAACTGACAAAAAAAAAGACTTCTCCTCGAGACTATCAAACTCACTCGCTTATAAGCCACCCCCATCCCCTCCCATCCCATCGTTTCTCTAAACCCCAAAGCCCTCTTTTTCTTTCTTGTATCTCCATTTTCACACACTCTCTCTCCTCTTTACGCAAAAAAAAATGAGGACTTCAATGTTGAGATCCATCAAATCCCTAACCACCTCTCCATCATCTCACGTCCTTCGCCGTGGTTACGCCTCGGAGGCCGTTCCTGATCGCAAGGTCGCCGTCCTCGGCGCCGCTGGAGGGATTGGTCAGCCACTTTCTCTGCTCATGAAGCTTAATCCTCTCGTCTCCAACCTCGCTCTCTACGATATTGCTAACACACCCGGTGTCGCCGCCGATGTCAGCCACATCAACACCCGATCTGAGGTTTATATCCTTCTATCTATATGAAAGAAAATATATGCTCTCACTTTTATTTTCCTCATTTTGTGCAGGTTTTTTTTTTTTTTTTTGCATTTTCAGTATTTTATTCGTTCAAAATGTAAGTTTTACCTTTTTTTATGGATCTATATTTGATTCATCTGTTAATTACTTGTTTTTGGTCTCTCTGGAGCTGAATCCATCGGTTCTATAATGCTGTTGATTTAATTGCACTCATTGTTTCAGCTTTCGGCTTCTTCTTTTTTTCTTACTGGGTTTAAAACTGTTTCTTTTTGGACTTGTCTTTGACTTTACCTTTTTGTTTGTGTTAAGGTTGTTGGGTATGCAAGTGATGCTGAATTGGGGAAGGCCTTGGAGGGAGCAGATGTTGTTATCATTCCAGCTGGTGTCCCAAGGAAGCCGGGAATGACCCGTGATGATCTTTTCAACATCAATGCTGGGATTGTGAAGGGTCTCTGTGAAGCAATTGCTAAGTACTGCCCTAAAGTGAGTATCTAGCTTCTTTGGGTTAAAATGATCTAATAAGGCATGCTTGTATGGCTGAGTTAACTCTAATGGTTTGTTTGAGCTCTATCTGATGTTTGAACTTCGAAATATTTTTCTTTCAGTAAGTACACCATAAGAAATCAATGTGTGAACGTGGAGGAACTGAATTAGTTTTTTAGCTATGTTATGGTTCGGTTTACATAGACTTCTGCAACCCATTTGGAACCCAATAGAGTCATTTGTATGTTCGAAGGCAATCAAACATGCCTTTGGGTTATTTTTCTTTTATGATTTGTTGTTTTGATTTCTTGTTAGCTGACAAATTTGGTGATGGAATTTGTGATACCAGGCACTTGTTAATATGATCAGCAACCCAGTGAACTCAACAGTCCCTATTGCTTCTGAGGTTTTTAAGAAAGCAGGAACCTATGACCCAAAAAGGTTGTTTGGTGTGACTACCCTTGATGTTGTTAGGGCCAAGACTTTCTATGCTGGAAAGGCCAAGGTGCCAGTTGCAGGTTTGCCCAATTACTCGTATACAAGAAACGTGTGATTCTTGTTTTATTCTCCATCTCTGTTTCCCTACAAAAAGCCAAGTCGAAAGTAAAGTGGATAAGATGATATAACCTATTACTTTTTTTTTTTTTTTTTTGATGCAACTGAAATAGCTTATCATTAGAAGATGGAATTCTTATATTAGCATGTTTCTTTGGTCTTTTACTGTGCAGTTATTTGTTTTAGAACTTTTCAAGTCATCATCTTATGTATTTCTCCTCTGATGCTGAGAATAGAGGAATATATACGAGCATTTTGAATGCCTGATGTTTAGATTTATCCTTCTGACTTTGGTGTTCTGCTTTGGTTCAGAGGTTAATGTACCAGTTGTTGGTGGTCATGCTGGCATAACCATTCTCCCACTATTTTCACAAGTACTTATTCACTCCCTTTCCCCGTTTCCTCTCCTAAATAGCTCTGTATTCTGTGTATGCTAATATTGTTTGTATCCATATTCTTGTCTGACTGTTCGAGACAACTTTTCTAAATTTGTTTTACTTAATTTGATTTATTTTGTAGGCCACACCAAAAGCCAATTTATCAAACGAAGAGATTACTGCTCTTACAAAGAGAACTCAAGATGGTGGGACAGAAGTTGTGGAAGCAAAGGCTGGAAAGGGCTCAGCAACATTGTCAATGGCGTAAGTTTGTATCCTGAGCATATTTATAATCATGATTTTATTTTGGATCCTTGTTTATGGACACTACATTAGCTTTTCTTTGTGGAAGTCTGGTGCCTACCCGACAAAGGTTTTCATGCTATGTTGACCAGGAAATAAAATTCACGTGTAATTGTTTTTTATGAAGGATTAGTTTTAGCTGACAGATTTCTTTTGTTTTTTTTTCCCTGTATAAGTCAACTTCAGAAGTACAAAGTGTAACTCATTCTTTACCCTTTTACAAGTCTCCTCATCTCCTTGCGCCTGCTGAAGCTATTAAAGGAAAATCTGAATTTTTTTAACTAATTTGATTGTCCATTCACAGCTATGCAGGAGCCATTTTTGCTGATGCTTGCTTGAAGGGGCTCAATGGAGTTCCAGATGTGGTTGAATGTTCATTTGTTGAATCAACTGTCACTGAACTTCCTTTCTTTGCTTCCAAGGTAATTTTATCAACTTTCCTTGATTGAACATATAAGCCCTTTGTTTGATCATGTCGATGGCAAATATCTCTTTGATTGGAATTCATTCTTTTAATTTACTTTATTACGCATTGTTTACAAGTTTAAAGTACCATTCCTAACTGATTCATGTCATTGTTGCCATATATTAGTTCAAATTATGGTTTTTAATGTTTTGGAGTTTCTTCCATGCTGTCCTGTTTACTTAGTTGGAAAAGAAAATTTTTCTTAATTGAATTTATTCTATTAAACTTCAAGCCTGAAATTTCTGAGTAGTGGTTAGCTGCACAGTTCCATTGTATTCATGTTATTTTTGTGTCTCACCTCGTCACCTCAAATCAATCTGAACACCATCCCTCACCAGTGCATCCTTATATTTTTTCCATGCATGTTGAATTTGATGGGATCATTTTTCATGACCTTTCCTTAATTTTGCTGCCATAGATGCCATTATCGCTTCGGCAGATGCACTTCTTAATTTGGTCATTGTCTTTCCATGCATGGATCTTAGATCCTCATCTCAGTTACATTATGACAATGCTAGAACTCTGCCAAATAAATCAATGCTTTAAAAATAAATAAATAAATAAATGAAAAAAGAAAAAAAAATGTAAATTTGGTGCAAAAATGAATGGCCGTTGTGAGATCTGTCATGCCTTGTTTTTAGCAAGTCCTGTATTTGGTGCTTTTCTATTGCAGCATGAATACTTTGTAAAGGTTTGTGATGCTTTGCACCTTTCATAGATGAAGAGCACTCTGGTATTTGGTGCTTTTCTATTGCAGCATTGCCGTATCTGTGCATTTTTGTTATGAAAGTGTCCTCGTGTTTTGAATTTTTTGTGCTTGCCAGGGTTGTCAGATAATAAGCATGTGAATTTTTGTGTTTGCAGGTGAGGATTGGAAAAAATGGTGTGGAGGAAGTTCTGGGGTTAGGTGCTCTCTCTGACTATGAAAGGGAAGGTTTAGAAAAGTTGAAGCCTGAGCTCAAATCATCTATTGAGAAGGGAATCAAATTTGCCAGCCAGTAATTTAATTACTGATTTTTGGCCGGCGGTTATTTGCTTCTTCGGTCTAACACATGCAAATTTTGCATTTTTTCAGTGTTGTATTTGCGGCTGCCAGCAGCACCGGCTGTGCTTTTTCATGTAGAGTAGGCACATAAAACCAAGTTTTATCAAATAAAACCCTGTGACTCGGGATGGAATTGAAAATTCTGTGTTAAATGTGGAGGACCATTGTTAATGTCTTTTGCCTTGGATTATGTTATCCACAGGAAAGACATTTATATGCCTATAATGATAAAGGTTAAAGAACGATGGAAATACAGTTTTAACCTCCCCCTGATCGTGTGCTGGACATTTGATTTGTTCTAAATTATTAAATGTTTGTCATGACGTTTGAAACATGCATGGCCATGATCAAGAAAAGAGCGTTTGCCATTCTGTAGAAGAAAATGAAATTACATCTTCTGACCCTTCTTTTTTCTTCAATTTCACCAGACAAGTCATTACAAGTAAAATCACGTTATCACAATGGATGCGGTTTTTCTCTCTTAGTCACACGTCTACAAGGACTGTAAAGATAGACATTTCCTTTTGACAGAAGGTGAAACTTGGATTTTCTCCCTAGCAAAATCAGCATCCAAAAATTGTCAGGTGCGTTCCAAAAGAGCACGCAGACCAACTTAAATCTGCGGATCAGCTGCAGCAAAAATGAGCACTATATCAATCCAGGGATTTCCCACAGGTATTAAAAAAATGTTATTGCTGTGAAAGTAAATAACACACTGTGATAATCTTTCTGCACCAGCAATCCTGGCCCTCAACGCAATTAAGCGCAGCTTAGCCAAAATGCTGTTCATATGAATTCATACAGGGAAACAAGAAACACTGTTTCAGACAAAATTTAAAAGCGGGAAGGGAAGAAAACATGATATCTCCAGTATTAAGGTATCTTTGATGAAGTACAAATACCCTTTATGGATAAGACGTCATTTTAAATATCCACGAAACAGTTCTAGGAAGCTACTTCGCCACAACAGAGACATCATGCTATAGGAGATAGCAGCTTAGTTAATCCTTTCCGAGGTCATGTATTTTCTCATTAGCTTGTTATAGTATTTCAATCTAGTTTTTGCCAGGTCGATATAAAATCTTAAAAAGTACGAACACAGCATCAACAGAAGTCCACTCGTGAAATAAGTTCCTCATATTCCCAGAGGAGCCCATAAACCCATAATATTTTGCATATACCCAAGTCCAAACAGAAGGCAACAGAGTACTTCCATCCAAAGCAGTTCACAGCCAAAAGGCCAGTGCCATAAATTGAGAATTCAGAGAAAACTTCCAAATGTTTTATATTTATTTTAATCTTCGAACATTTTTTTCTGTGATGATTGGCAAGTTGCACATTGAGTTGATTTAGAATATAATTTCCACAGGACAAAAATCAAAGATCAGTTACAAAACTGTAGGTAGCAGTTTTTAGAGGCAAAATTGTGGATCGGTGACAAGAATTAAACCACGTCACAATTACACAGGTATTTACAACAAAATTCCACCATGCACTTGCTGTTAGCAAGAAGTGAATTTCTTCTACAATATTGTACATGAAAGCACACCTAAACCCTATAATAAATACTGAAAAGCATGCAATTTTTAGTTTCACAATTCATTATTCCAACACTAGATGTCTCTACAAGGATAAAATAAAGACCAAAGACATCATTAGCATCTGAAAGCCACACATCTATGTCACAATGAGCAACAAACATCAGGAACAATGTCGGAAATATCACCAAAAAAGATGAAAGATCCGAGATCAAACCCTATAAAAAGGAACTCTTGAAAGATTAAAAGAGATCATTTGAAAATGTATGGCCACTGAAAAGTGGGAAATGTGGTTACTCAAGAGTCAAGAAGATTCATAGGCTATGTGGAACTGTTTATAAGACACTACTGGAAAACACCACACACAAACAAATGCGAATAAAATTGGAATCAGTAAAGAATAAGCACACAAACAAAATTGAAAAGAAGGGCTTTATCATTCATCAGATGCCTTATGCAATGCAAGTCAGCCAGAGCTTCTAAAATTATCTTTGGACACTTTTGATGACATTGAATGATGATTATAGGCAATTTTTTGAACAAATTGAATTAATTCCTGTAATTGACTTTGAAAGTAGAGGCTTCAGTTAAAGGGGAAGTATTATTGTTTTTGGATTTAGTTTCTTAATTGTAACTCTTCGGCTAGCCTTAAAAACCTCTGGTTGCCAAAAGCACAGTCATTGCAGCCCTTCAACATCTGATTAAGTACTTTGCCAGAACAAATGGCATTTCATGAATCACACCATCTGCTGCATCTAAACAAAAATTAGTTTCTATTGAGCTATCAAACTCACAGTATCATTCAACTACTGTATGTTGCCATAACCTTAAAGCCATATATATGGCTCAAGAAAAAAGAAAGAGAAAAAATTAAGGTTGTTAACTCTTAGAAAATGATCACTTTGACAGGTAAATGTCCAATATTGTAAAGGTTGAATGGCAATTGTTTTACTACCATAGATGATAGAGAAATAAGAGAAGATTAGGATTCTAACCAAGGATGATACCCCTACCTTACTTGAATCTACCAACTACGATGTCATTGACCTGCATCTGACCCAGATCCCGAAGAACTATCACTATCAGAGCCTGCACATTAAGTAGTGGAATGAATTAATAAATCCATTTTATCTCTTATAGCACCATCACCAGAAAGTTATATATGTTTAACATTGCTATATTAGTAAGGTTTCAATTACCACTTGAAGAGGATCTCGAGCCACTGCCTGAACTGCTTGAACTACTTGATCTGCTCATACTACGGCCTTGCCTATGTTCTTTAATAGGAGAAGATGCAGAAATAGTCATTTGTGCTGCTTCAAACCAAAAGGTTTTAGAATTCTGTGCATAATAACTAGAATGCCATAAAGACCCAACAAATGAGCCTCAATGAAGGCAATGCAAAATCCTACGGAATTCAAGATGGTTATACCTGATCCAAGTTCTTTTGGTGCCTCTGCAGTAGCAGACGTCAGATTCTACACAGACAGAGAGAATCCATCAACATGAGTCTCATGAAGGAAATTCAGATCAAGATTGGAACTAATAAGAATTATGGCCTTACAGTCCTATGCATATAATGACCAGCTTCTTCTCTCCCTTGTAGGGCAACTTCAGCTTCTCTGTCATTCTTGCTCATACTTTTCTGGTAATCAGTTACATACCTATGAAGTTCCCAAAGTGTTTCATTATCAAAACTATCAATATCCACTTCAATCTCATCTTCTTGTTGGAAAAGCCCAGGATTCCTCTTCCTAATAATCTGGACAACTGATTCTAGTTTCTCTGAAGGCAAACTCTGCAGGTTTCCACTCAATTTCTGCTTCTCCTCATAAGTCATTTCGCCTTTGTCAGTATCATTCTTCTTAGGTTTCTTTGACACTGATGTCCTACCCTGGTCAGCAGCAGTTTTTGCAGCTTTCATCTTCGAATGCACAAGCTCTGTCAAAGAATCTGTTCTATCCAAAGTTCTCGTCTCTAAAGGTACTGTGTCTTGAAAAGCAGCAGGACTGGGAGCACGGCCAGAAGCAAAAGCAGGACCACAAGCAGGGGGCGAAGTACGAGGACCTGGAGCTCTCTTTGAAGCAGAACCACAAGCAGGAGAGGAAGCACGAGGACCTGGAGCTCTCTTCAAAGCAGGTGTTGGCACAGTAACATCATGCCCCATCTGCCCCCTCTTATCAACATTAGTTTGGCCCTTCACTTTAGCCCAATTCTCCTCAAAAATCTTCAACAATGTATCTGCCATAGCATGCACATCCTGCCCTTTCTCATTATACTTCATAGCATTATTAAACGTCAACCTAACATCCTCTGCAAACTCCTTTGGCGATTTGTACCAATTCTTACTCAACCTATTCTTCACCGTCCCTAAGTCCATCGGATGCTTGATAATTTTATAATAATCATGCAGCTTCAACTTCTTTGCATCCACTGGCTCATTAAACACCCACCCATATTGATGTTTCATCAAATTGCCTAATAACTCCCCACACCTTTTAACCAAATCTTTACTGAACTCCACCACCACCCCCTTTCCCCCACCACCGTCCCTCTTCCCTCCACTGCCACACTGTTTCAACTTCTTGTTCGAATTCACTGGTGTTTTCTTCTTCTCATTACCATCCAACGGCCTCGAATTGGTGGGTCCCACATAACTAACTTCAGAATTCACCCTAGCAAGAGTTCCAATTTTATTACCACCGCCTCCACCACCACTATTACCTCCTATTCTATTATTATGATTATCATTAAAAGAAGAATGAAATGTTTCTTTAGATTCAAGTTTTTTTTCAAGGTTCTAACTTGATCAAGTTCACTAACTAATTTCCTCTTTAGTTGTTTAATTTCAGATTTTGACCTTGAATTCAAGTTGATTTTTACTTTACTACCATCAGCAAATCTCACGTACCCGGGTAGTACTGACTTGATCCCATTCTGTGGGACCGGCTGTACGTGATGAAGACTCGAAGAATCGTCCGACGCCACGGTGCCGTCCCGGTGGTTCTGCTTCCAAAAAGATGTCGTGGTGGTGTTTTTTCTTCTTGCTGGCGCTTCTGTTGGTGACGGATATTGCTGGGTTTGTTGTGGTGTTTTTGGGTGTACAGATTTCTGTTGATGATGGGTTTCCTTTGTTGTTTCTTGTCTCCACAATCCTCTTCTTCAGAGTGTAACCATTCATGGAAAGTAGAAAACCCTAATTTCTGGAATCAAAACCCTAATTATTGCTCTTTTTCTCTCTGTCCTTTTTTTCTTTTTTTTAATATGTAGACAAATGTGAGTATTTAGACAATAATAAAACCCTAATCCTAATCCGTACGGATTAGGGGTTTTTCACTTGAAGGATGTAAAAATTAAAAAGGACATATATATATATATATAGTACCGGAAGCGGTAAAATAAAAACAAAGTACAGCAAATTTTTGTCCACCACAAATGATTTCTTTGTTTAACAACAAGAGATACAAATTCTATTATTTTAATAAAAAAATTTAACTATTATTTTCATTTAAAAAGTTCAAGCTGGGATTAAACATCTTCAATCAATTTGAGTTAGAAAGAGCGAAGGATGAAAGGAGGATTGGATGCATTAATGATGCAAAAAAAAAAAAAAAAGCGCCTCACCAAATTCCTTTTCTTTTCTTACCAAATTAAATGGATTCATCATTCTTCTAAATACTAACATACAGTTTTAATTTCATTAATCGACCATCTAATGTTTCAATTTGACTAATTTATTCATAAATTATATATATTTTTATAATCTCTATTTGTCAATTATACTCATCTATAATTTTAATTCACCTTCCAAGCTTCTCATTAAGTACTTTGCACGCAAATTGTTCAATTATCTAAAAATTTTTGTTTTTATTTGATTACTATTTAAATTAAAGATAAAAGATAATAAATGTTGTTAATGGAGTGTTTGGAATAAATGAAGGGCGGAATTCATTTTATTTATAAATGAAATCAACGAAAATTTGTATTAGCAAATGAATTCTCTTGTTTGGAACCAAAAAAAAAAAAAAATATTAGCCAAATCATTCATTTGTAAATACATTTTATGTTTTTAACACATGTAGAATTAGAATTGTAGTTTGAATTTTACCTAAATACCTTATAGTTGGTTGAAAGATAATTATGATATAATACAAAGACAAATACAATGTTTTCACAAATAATACAAAGATCTCATGCCCATATAAGTCGAATATATACCTTACATAAATATAATATTACAATGGATGTCTATATCATATTACATGTCCAAAAATCATATCATTATATTGGCACAAATATTTTGCAGAGCTATGCAAGCAAAATATTTCAAAATATAACAAACATCCAACATTAGGGATTCAAGTTTAATAATCCATACTACTAATTATAACAAACAATCCATCATACTTTAAATCTATACTAATGCTAATTATAACAAACAACCCTCACTTTAATCATCCATACTAATTTCCATCTTACTTCTAAGCCATGGTAGCTTGATTTCATCATCACATGCCAAGAACCTATCCATCAAAGATCGATCATTTTCTCGTTAGGAAGTCAAGTGCATCCATTACTTCCTACTTATCCAAACCCAATTTTTTTAGCTCACTTGCAATTTCAGCAACCGAGTAAACATGATGACTTGCAATCTTAATAGCATTGGCGATTTCTTTCATTGAACAAGTAACTTTAACAATCTCATCGGCAATGTTACCACTCATGGGTTTTTTTCTTTTCCCTTTGGAAGTAGCCTTTGATTGGCTTGGAGTGGATGAAACGTTATCATGACCAATTGGTAAATCTTGAGCAATAGGTGAATGCTCCATTGGTGAGTGATGATAAGTGGTAGTAAAAGGATTGAATTGTTCAAGATAGACCTCATTAGTTCCTTGCATGCTATCTATGTCATCAATATTAATTTTTTGTTGTTGTAGGGGACTTTGTTGCTCTTATTGCCACCTCTTCATTTTCTCATTGGCACTCTCCACCACACCTCCATTTGCTCGATCTTTCTTGAATAATTCACGAGCATCCTCAAGAAAATAAAGTTCATTGTCATGCACCAATTTATAATCCGGCTTCACTTACAAAAGAAGCAACAATATCAAGTATTTATCCATCTACAAAAATCATTTCCAACTCACACTATTATTATTATGAACTTACCTATATAACACCTTCCCACACACTTTGACCAGCATCAAGCTTTTTTGTTACGTCATTCCATCCAAATCCATTTTTGTCTAATAATTCAATAGATAGGGTTATAAGTTTTTGGATAGTCTTCAATCTATTAATCGTCTTTGCCTTGTCAACTTTTTTGCCAATCTTCTTAAACTCCAAGTTAAGAGTATCGACAACCACCTTCCAAGCTTCTTTGGTAAATTGCTTCTCATCTTTGTTACCTTTGGCTTTTACATTTTTCAAGCAATCAAGAAGATGTTGATCCATTTCTCTTGGCCATCTAAGATACTTATCCATAGCTTCAACACCACTAACAATATCAACATCATTTCCACTTGGTGTAACCATCTCGCTCTTAACAAATATATGCCATATAACAATAAATTTAAAACTCTTTGGTTTATTAAAAATAAATTAAAATAAAATTAGCAACTTTGTCATCACATAATACATTTCAAGAATAAATGAAGAGCAATTAAGTTCAACACAAATGTGTCCATCACATAATACATTTCAAGAATAAATGACATGACCTAGGCATTAGATATATAATCACTCCACATATGGCTAGCTATGCCATCTCTTAATTGCTCTCCTTCTCTACAGCATCTACGACTCTCGACAATCGAACATTATCATCTATTGCGGACAAATTTTGCATTAACTCATTATCTACCTCCTGCAATATATCTTCATCGAGGTCATACATAAGGAGAAAATTATGTAAAATGCAACAAGCAATCACAATTTCTAAAATGGTATCAACATTGTAATTTGGCTCGTTCAACTAGCTATAATTGGAAATCTTTTTTACAACACTCCAAAGGCCCTTTCAATTGCATTGTGCAACGATGCATATCGAAGATTGAACAATTCTTTTGCGTTCTCGGGCGAAGAACGAGAGTACTCTTTCAAATGGTATCGCATACCTTGATATGGAGTGATGTATCCCGATCTCAAAGGATACCCGGCATCAACTAGGTAAAATTTACCTACGATGTATAAACACAATTCATGTATTATTAATCACTTAATTTAATATTATTCATGTTTGTTGAACTAATTATATGGGGATATTGATGTAATTACCTTGGGGAACTCTCAACTTATTGTCCCTATTCATAGCATTTTTTAGAATTCTTGAGTTTGATGCTCGATTCTTCCTAACTAGGTAACACATAAGTAAATATGAGGTCAAAATCACATGCTACTAATATATTCATTGTGGGTATTCCTTTTCGCATCTACATCTTGGTGCGTACGCTTTTGAAACTTTGACGGAATATGCATCCTATCAATAGCACCAACACAATTCTAAAAATTTATAAAAAATAATTAGCACTTTTAAGAATAAATAACACCAAGTAACTAATTGTGATTTTATAAGCCTAAGTTTGTAATACTACCTTAAAATAAGGATATAACCTTCCTTCACTATTCAATATTTGTGGAGGTATTGTGGATCCATCGGGTTATACCAAAAACACATCTTCAAGTGAAATGATTGATCTAAGCACTTGGTAGAAAATGATGACTTATTGTCTTACCACTCCGACACCAAAAAAAGTTTTCCATGCAAGTTCGTACATTACTGGATAAAATGTGCAAAAATCTTGCAACTTGCTCCTTAACACAATTATATTATGTGTCCTTTAATGACCCTCGTTGTTTTAAAATATAGACTAATGTTCTAAATGCATTAATGTTCATATGTAATACGAGTACAAGAATCTTTATTTGTTTTTAATTGCCTCATCAACTCTTGTCTAACATGATATCGATCATGATTAGTTTCTAATTGTGGTCTCTCCATAATATTTTGATATAGCTGAAGTAAGACCACTAAATACCTAGCATATGCAACTAAAGTTGCGATTGCATTTCTTTGAAAGTCATTTATATTTCCCGAACATTAATACAACAAAAAGAAAAAGCAATGAGAAGTCCAAAATTGGAATATATTATCAAACAATCAAGGAAATTTAACAATTCCGATTTCAACACAAAATCAAGCAATAGAACATCAACGATATTAATTTAGATAAGTGAACTAATAGTTGATGTTAATTACAAAGCTAATTACCACTATCAATATCTTAAAATTATTGGACAAAAATTAGATGTTGTTTCGTGCCGTATAAAGTGTAGTAACTCAATAAATTGTGACTGGCTCAATTATTCCTCACTTTCAAGTTTGTGTTTCTTTCTTTAAGATATTACAAAAAAACAAGAAAAAAATTATATAAATTCATCAAAAGAACAAGTTGTAAGCTAAACTAATAAAATAAATAAAAAGGAGATAGAAAATGTATAATGAGAAGAATTAACATCAAAATCCGTAAGTTAGAAAATGTAACATACACTTTTGCAAAAAAAAAAAAAAACATTTAGGCCGAGAAAATACACTTTTTTAGTTTTTCGAGACAATGCGGGCATGCGAGCTTTCGAGTTCTCGGAAGGGCCGATGTGAACGAGCGTGAAACAATCTATAGAGAAACCGTAATTCCTGGTTTGAAGTTTCGGGACCTACATCATAGCCAAAGTGACAACCACGAGAGACTCATCGGCCTAAGCCGTAAGATAAGGTTGATTTTCGCCCAAAAATAACCGATCACGTTTTGAGTAGTTTTAGAACGAGTTTGATGGCAAACGAGCTAACGATAAAAACTCATCGCCTTTGGCCATGACACCGAAGGTGATTTTTGCAAAAAAAACGACTTTTAAGCCGAGAAAATAAACTTTTTTAGTTTTTTGAGATAATACGGGCATGCGATCTTTCGAGTTCCCGGAATGGCCGGTGTGAACGAGCGTGAAACAATCTATAGAGAAACCGTAATTCCTGGTTTGAGGTTTTTGGGACCTATATCATAGCCAAAGTGACAACCACGGAGACTCATCGGCTTCGACTATGAGTCGAGGTTGATTTCGCCCAAAAATGGCCGATCAAGTTTTGAGCGAGTTTTAGACCTAGATCGATGGCAAACGAGCCAACAA